TCGTTGGTAGGTCATCGACCTATCTACCCGCGTCAGGCCACTCATGCCGTTCCAGGTGGCAGATTTGCCGTAAAGCATGTTCCAATTAATATACGGCAAATCATCGCTGCCGAATCCGCCGCCAACGACGGTCTCGCATATCCCTTCTTGACTATAGGTATATACCTGACCCTTGAGTCTTCGAAGGGTATCGCATTCGAGAAATGGTTCATTATTGGATGGCTCTGTGAGTGTTTTCCTCGTCTTCACGCGCAGAGCACAGCTGAAGGTGTCGTGATCTCAGACCAAGTCTTCATGGGCGTCGCTATTGGAGCCATTATAGGTATGCCCGACCGCGTGCATACGTGATAGTCGTTGACACAGTTTAGGCCGTGTATTTGCGTACGTCATGAAGTTCTCTCAAGCCAAGGGCTTCATCGACCGAGAGTCGTATGTTGCCCAATTCTTAGCCTTGGCTTTTTTGACCATCGGCGTGACGAGCGTCGTCGGGTCCGACGACCTTCTCGCCGCATTTGCCGCGGGTACGTGAGATCTGCTCGCCGATGGCAGTCCAGCTGATATCTCTCAGGTTCTGCCATTTCGTGGGATGGCGATTTCAACACCATGGTCGAAGGGGAGGTCTTCGCCTCCGTGATCGACCTTGTCCTCAACTGCGCCTGCTTCATCTACATCGGCGCATGGCTCCCCTTCGATACCTTCAACTCTCCCGATCTCGGCATCGTTCCCTGGCGTCTCGTAGTCTTTTTCATCTCCATTCTGGCCCTTCGACGCATCCCCTCGACGATGATGTTGTACAAGGCTGTGCCTGAAATTCGTACGTGGAAGGAGGCGCTTTTCTGTGGTCACTTTGGCCCCATGGGGGTCGGAGCGATCTACATCCAGCAGTTCGCCCTCGAGAGATTGGGCGAACCTGAAGGGACGCCAGAGACGCAGGCAGACGTCCTTGCCGCGAGTATCCAGCCCATAGTCTCATTCGTCGTCTTGGGGTCTATCATCGTTCGTACGTATCCCTGCATTTTGATGAACATCAGCATGACTCACAGGGCTCCAGACGGCCTATCCATCCCTTTCTTCTCATTCGGACGGAATCTGGGTCGGGCTGTCACCCTCACACGAACGCAGACGGTCCAGTCGCACGGCGCCTCCTCCGGCGTTGCGCAGCCGGACTGGCTTCTATGGGCTCGAAGGCCCCAGTCGACGACGCTACCTACGCACGTCGACAAGGATAGCACGAGAGCCACATCGAACCGCGCATCGATCGAGGAACCCGAATCCTCTATGGTGATGTCCGAGAGACGCTCGTCGCCTCCAGCTCTACCTCTGCACGTCGACGTCGCAGCGCCGGAGGCCGCTGAAGAGGGCGCATCCGTGCGCGGGGTCCAGGCTCTCCGCCGCGGCGCGAGTCGTGCTCACACACCGACGTCCTCGATCGACCACCTGGATGGCTCCTCCATCCGCGGCGCGGAAGGCTCTCCGTCGGGCTCACAGACACCAAAAACCGTCAAGTTCACGGACCATGCTGCGCCGCCGGTCGATATAGGGGCGAGATGGCTGTCGCCTGAGCTCAACGAAACAAGCGAAGGGCCTGACGCTGATGAGCGCGACGCGGCGGAGCGGGTGAAGGAACAGTCCCAATGACACTGGTCATGCGTCCTTCGGGACGATGAGGGCTCTGCTTCTTACCTCGCCGCCTATATGCGGTCAGAGCGAATGACATTCGCATCTCGAGCTGTAGAGAGCTCACAGACTAGAGTTGTCCCAGTGTCCGTTGTATTACATGCGCGATGCTATATACTGTCTGCCCATGAGATGTGCGCAAGTCACAATAATGCAAGTCCGGTTTTGATAACGATACAGAGCGAGAGTATATGAACTGCGGAGCGATACAGGTTGGTTATTCGTAAGGATTGGTGCGTCCGGCCTGATAGACAGCAAGCTGTTAGCGACCGTGGACGGGACACGGTGGCCGTAGCAACGTACCTGTCGGTCTCCCCCACGATCTGGGCCCTCTCCGCAGCCGCACAGCCATTCGTGCCACCAACGCGTTGGCGGCTCGTAATCTTCCGCATCCGAAGATTGACTAGAGGCGGTTGGTGGTGGCATAGGAAGGGGTGGCGAGTGTATTGGAGGAGGTGACCTGGGTTGGGGGAGGTTGAGCGGTTTGGGGAGTGGCGGATGCCGAAGAGTCGATTCGCGGCGGGCAAGGAGCACAGGCCCGTCAGGCGTGGGACCGGTGGAGTTTGGGTGGTCGGGCACTTCTGCCAAGGGTTCCATGACTGCGCCGGTCTGAGCGGGATCCGCAAAGGGATCGTTCTCAGGCAGACTCAGCTTGCGGCGGTGGTCGGCAAAGGTCGGTGATGGTGTTGGCGTCGCAATGTCGTCGAGCTGCACACCGGCCATGTCGAGCGAGTCCCGAGACTGCAACGCGCGGTGGTTTCCCAAGGGGCCGCCCATCTGCGGGCGTGGCGGCGTGCGATGTTGTCCAGGGGAGAAGAGCAGCGATGCCCGACGAGCGACACTGCCCACCAGGGAGGGCGCGTCCCCACTGCCTTTGGTTGACTCGCGAGCGCAACGGCGGCGCTCACGCTCGGCAAGCTCCCACCGGCGTAGCGTCTGCGGTCCGTCAGACCTGGAGCACACGAACGCAGCGCGCTCACCTCTTCTACGCGGCGCGTCTCAGCCTCTTCATCGTTCACTGGTGGGTACGACCCCGCGTCCGATCGGTCGCCGTCGTCGTCGTCGTCATCGTTATCGTCCGTCGACGGGCTACGTTCCTTTCCTTTGCGACGCGACGAGTAGCGCGGGGCGTCGAGCTCGGGCTCGTCGTCTTTCCAGACGTGCGGACGCGCGAGGTCCTCCTCTGCGGGCGAGGCAGGTACCTGCGCTGGGCGCTTCGGGGTCGTCTGGTGGTGATCGTGGACGTCGGCGGTGATGGTCTCGAGGGAGGATATGGAGGACATGAATGGGGCGGGGATGTTGCGGACGACGCCGTCGGTGAGCAGGTGGGCGTTGTGTTCAAGTGAGGAATGCCATTTTAGAGATCAAACGGCTGTCGTCATCGTTATACTTACCTATCCCAATCCGGAACTCGTTTTCTTTGTTTGATTGCGCAAGGAAGTCCATGCTCATTCAGTCTCTATCGGGACCTTCTTCTTCTATAGTCACAGAGGATCGCATGCTGCCATGTCTATGTTCTGGGTATACATTCGATGTTGGTATAATAGGACCAGGAGATACATGCGGCGAGCGTCACCGCGCCAGACCGGTCTCATTGACAGACCACGTAGATCCTTTCTGTCGGAGGATGGGGGCATGAGACTCATCCGAGTACGCGCTGTGCAGGGTAGTAGTGCCCGACGTATCGTGGCCCGTATGGCGAGCGCTCTCCCTCACTTGCTTGATGTTCTCGTGGAAGGTGCGCTGAAAGGAGTGTCAGCTACCGAACCATTGGCCTTGACAAAAAAATTCAAGTACCTGCTCCCGCCAATACTGTATGCGCTTCTCGCGTTCTACGTCACGCTGTTTTCTATGCAGCAGAAAGAGACCGACCAGCAGGCCCACCATAGCTGGGACAGGAAGTCAATCGACGAGGGGAGTAGAGGTAGACGCAACCCACCGGTGAAGATGCACGCTGCCACGAGGATGTAGATCCATAGCGCCAACTTGCGGACAGCCGAGGGCAGGTCCCCACATGTGCCATTCGCCAAGCAGTTGTAGGATGTGCATCTGCACCGTCATTGAGCTGGTACTCCGAAAGCAGGTAGACGACTCACTCTTTGTCCGCGTCACAAGCTTCCCCGAAGTCCTTCTTTGATATACACACTAGAGCTTTCGAGTCGCAGAAGTCGCTGAACTGACAGTTGTCCCTGCAATCCGTGGCAGTCAGTATAGACGCGTAATCACGGAGAGAACCAGGACGCCAACCGCGAAACAATGTCGGCAAACTCCCCATTGGAAGTGTACGCGATGTATGCCGTGTTCTCGACTACACAAGGCTGCCCTTCTGTGACGTTCGCCCACCTTCCGAGGGATCGTCAGCTAATGGCAAAAACGAGGAGACGATCGTTCACCCACATACATATATTGTTCAAGCAGACAGAGCCGTTATGGTTCAGACCCATCCCGCTATGGTCAGCTAGCTCTTTCCAATCCGGCGGGCCCTCGCACTGGTCTGGAATGCGTCGACCGTCAGTGCGGGGGATCTAAGGCATATCGAGTGAACACGCACCGTCGCGGTTGAGCTGGCAGGCGCTCCCAACCTCCAACAGCGACTGACATGCGTCCTCTTCGTCCGGGCAGAATTCCGTGCGACCGCAGAGAGGGGGAAAGTTCTTCGGGTCGTCGTACCTATCCCGCGCGTCGTCAACTCAGTGAACCCATCGCGACCGACTCGCGCACGCACCCTAGCGGAAAGGCATCCCTCCTGCACCCCTTCGGCAAGCACGTCCCATTTGACGCGCAGTACGTGTGTGAGTTGCAGTCGCTGTAGAACTGGTACGTTCCTATTTGAAGGCGGTTGTTGCCCTGCGAGCATGATTCCCATTTGTTCTGGCTGCCCGCGCGTGTGAGGGGAGACAGAACCAGTGATGTCGCTGCAAGACACCACGACTTCATCGCCTGAAGGAGATTCGAAGGTCCGGCGCCTCGGCAGGTCGTCAAAGTATTTGGCGAGCAGGAAGCGCAGATGTTGACCGGGGAAGGAAAGGAACAAGGAACAGTCCTAACGGGGATAGAAATGACGATTGATCCCAGTTGATCCCGCGCTTTCCCGCGCTGGTCCCGCGCCTGACAGCAACGGAACCGTGGCCGCGCGTGTCCACCTGTGTCCACCCCCATCTCTACACCATCCGGTGCATTCTTCATTTGCGCATCTATTGCTGCCAAAGCTCATCTAGCGACCTATGTAAGAGACTGGGTACATAGATAACCTGATCTCGCTGATCTCGAAGGCAGGAGGGCTTCATGGCCTAGGAGCGCTGACGCCTCTACTTTCGTGGATAGTTCAGATGACCGAGTGGTTAAGGTGATGCCCTGCTATGACCATAGCCTATGATCAGGCATTGTGCTTTGCACGCGGGTGTTCGAATCGCCCTCTGAACGAACTTTTTCTTCTCAGAAGCATTGCACTGAGGAACACAATTCAGAGTTTGGCGCAAGCACCGATGAGGAGAGTAAAACTTGGATGTGAGATACGATGTGAGACGATGCAAAGGAGTACATGATTTTGGGTGAACACGAACTTCTGTGCACAGTCGCGCGGGACAGTTCAAGGGTCTCCTTCGTTTCCTCACCTCCTGCTCTCACCTGGGAAACGCCCCTTCTCTGATCCGCCATCAAGCTTGTCTACACTTGTCTCGACTTGAACGCGAGTAATTTGTGAAGTCGACTCGGAAGAATTACTAAAACAAGTTGTGAACATGCAACGTTGCAGCCACGTAGATTTTGTTGCATCCTCAGTCGTCAAGAAAGAGTTCGAGCAGGACTGACTGGGTACCAACTTGGATAAACAACAGGATTTGGTGACTATAGCCACCGCCTTTCTGCAATGCTGGAAGTTAGTAAGACTTAGTACCGAAGGTCGCCGTGTGTTCAACAGCACGTGCACAAGCCTGAGGCTTCCGTATTTGGTATCTCTTGTTCTTGACTTCCACCTCTTCGAACCTGCGTTATTGAGGCGCTTTTGTCACCTCCAGGCGATTATCCAGTGATTCCTACGCAACCGATACTTGTGCTAGTGTTTGGTCCCGGACGTAGAGTCGTTCGCATCGAGCCGCAGGCGCGATCGTGAAGCGCCACCTTCAACCTACATGTGTCTGCTGGACCTTCCCGTCGAGCTTCTCGCGGAAGCGCTCGCGTATCTTGACCACCTCGAACTCCTACGCATACGAAGGGCAAGTCTTGCCGCTAGGCTGCTCTCCCCACTCTGACCACGCCCTGCAGACCAACCGAACCCTTCGCGATGCAGTGGACCATACAGCCAGCTTATCCTACAAGCTGGACTTATCCAAGCACGGAATGCAAGACGGCACGAGAGCCGATCTTGGGTCCGCAGATCGTCTGGAAAGGCTCAGGAGCTATCGCAAAGCATGGCACGCGCTCGAATGGTCCGCTAACAAGAAGATCCCGGACGGTGGGGTCTTTGCGATCGCTGGTGACATTGTCGCGTGTACAAGACGCGCAGATACCGACAAGATTACCTTTATACGCCCAGGGTCGAATATTCGTGGTGTGAACGAGCATCAATGGACAATCCCCGCTCCCCCTGGGCTACGGGACTTCATCATCGAGCCGACTATGGACTTGATTGTCGTCCTTGTTCACAGAGTGTGCGTGAAAGCCCTCCTCTGACGTCGTATCTGACACCCGCATAGTGACACACTCTTTGAGCTGCACCTACTGTCCATGTCAACCGGTCAAAATCATCCCCGCGCCGCATGCCCCGTCCTCTCTGTCCCTCTCGCCTTCGTCCCAGCCGATTTTAAGCCCATGGTTATGGAAGACCGTCTGGGGATATTGTTTACCTCGGATGGTCTTATCCAGTCCCTGTTCACAGTTTGGGATTGGCACACAGGCGAGAAGTTCAAGGTGTGCAGCTAAATGGGCTCAAGGTTGTGTCCTGACAGTCATTCAGAGCCCCTTCCGCAAACGGCACGTTCCTTGCGTGGCTTTTCTTGACAGGAACCTTGTCGTCATGCCCTTCACCTACAACGACAACAACACGTTCAGCTCCACAGCGCTCCTTGTTGCCGACATTTCCGTACCAACGAAATCCAGGCGAATATGCCGCCTCCTCCTGCCTCGCTCCGCCGTCAGCACAATTGCCTTCGCCGACTTTATCTGGGACCAGCCTCTGTCGCGAAGGATGAAAGACGCATCACCTGGCTGGTTCGCGCCCGCGCCGCGCGACCGTATCCTTGGGCTCAGCGTCGCTGCCTTCGACGCGGTCAACTTGAATAACATGCATCATACATCCGCCATGTTCATCATGTCCGTCCCGCGTGTAGTTGATTGCATCCGCCAGCGCACCATCCCCCCGAACGTCAGCCGCTGCACGATCGAGTGGGATGCCTGGGGCCCGCATTCGACGCGCATCTTCGCGCACGACTGTCCTTCGCTGTGGCTCTCGTTCATCCACGGTACGAGGTATGCTGTCTTGGACGACGGGGACGCGAAGGCGGGATACACGGTCTACGACTTCGGGAAAACTGCCGTCGGCGACGAGGACGATCCTGCGGGAGAGGGTGCGGTCATCACTGAGCCGTCTATATACGACGCGCGCGAAGCATTCTCTGCCCCTGTCAAGACGTGTCTGCCATATCGCGCTGTACAGCGCAGACTTGAACCAGAGGTTGCCGACTGGATTGGATCGCCTGACAGTACGGGGTCTGCGGCCGTGATGCTGATCGACGATGGTGTCGTCTTCTCTCCGGTGAGCGGGCTTTACCCAGCCTTGCATGAAAAACCTGACATCGTTTACAGGAAGCCGGTGGTGAATATTGGGCTTGGACCCTCTAATTCAAAGCTCATTCACCACATAATTTGTCGTGTATCGTTGCAGGCCATTACCGGAGCGCTGTTTCAGCCTCAGAAAGAGGCTGTTCTCTGCAGGTTCGCTACAAATCGTAACGATTCTGACCTATCTGTCTCGCATGAGCGGCACCGTTGCCAAAGCTAAGTTAGAAAGTGTGCAATATATCGCATGTCTGTATCCTGAGGCGTCTATGGAGCATTGTCTCCAAAAAAAGCACACATCTACATGGTCGGAATCTGGGTACAACTTCGCACAAGGTGCAGTGGTATAGAATGGATAGTCCGTATATTTCTTCGAGTCCTTCGAGGCGCGAGCGTAGAGCCGTCGCTCGAGCGGCGCTTCCAGCGGAATGTTCTTCTTCAGGCGCGCGCGGTGATTCAGGCTTTAGAGAACGTGACTGCAGTAGGTAGACTCCGTACGTTGGAGATGTAAAACCTCGAAAACTCGATGAGATCACCCTTGTCCGTGACAGTGGCCATCGCAGTCTCCAGATGGTCATTAGCTACCCGTGCTGATAGCTGCGGGTCCCAGGTCTTCTGCAGGGAGTCGTTCGACTTGTACAGGACCCTGGACAACAAGTTGAACAAGCCGAAGAATCACGTGATTGCGGGAAATGACCGAACGTGTGCGTGACCGTCGCGTCGTTGCGTCGCGTTTCGCGGCGCTTATTCGTCTTCCACTATGTCGGCACAAGAGGAGACAGGTGCGCCAATGCTCTCCGCCTCTTGAGCTGTTACTGATACTATACCAGTCGACTGGTGTGCATCGTCTCCTGACCATCTTGTCACAACGCTAATTCCCGTCCCAGTCCCATATGTTCCGACCGCGTATGCGAAAGCCTCATCAACGAACACATCGACGACAAACACATCAACAAGAAGTCTACTTCCACAACTCAGCCCTCTCAGTCCTTTACGGCCCGCAAGCCAACAACGCACATTCCCAAGGCCTCGCAGTCGAGCGCCAAAGTCGCGCCGATCTTCTCTCGCGCGAAAGCCGAGCCAATAGCCAGCACATCTCATCCTGCGCCATCTCCCGTCTCGCAGACTCCACGTATCAGCAGAAAGCGCGCTCATGATGATGCAGGGGGCGCCTCCGCAAAGCGCTCGCGCACGGCTGTGTCCAACCTCCAGGCTGCAGCGCCATTAGCGGAGAAGTTACGCCCCAGTAGCCTCGCAGAGTTCGTCGGGCAAGCACACCTCACCGCGCCGGACTCGCTCCTTATGAGTACGGTGAGCAATGGTGCCGCGGGCAGCATGATCTTCTGGGGGCCACCAGGGTGCGTTTGTTAGCGTCGTTGCGCCGCGCCGCGTTCTAATGCAGGGTTTTCTCAGATGCGGGAAGACGACGCTGGCGCGGCTTATGGCGAAGCATACTGGTTCGATATTCCGGGAACTGAGCGCCACGGATGCAGGCATCAAGGACGTCCGTGCGGTCTTCGAGGAGTCGAAGAATACGTTGACATTGACAGGCCGGTAAGCCTTCGTTTTGGAGCCGGTTCATCCATTTCTTAACTGCTCTCAGACGTACTGTCTTATTTCTCGACGAGATACATCGCTTCAACAAGGCGCAACAGGTACGTCGCTTCGTCGAGCAGGCAAACAACAATTAAAGAACCGTGCAGGACATCTTCCTTCCTTACGTCGAGCAGGGCTACATTCAAGTAGGTGCTTTCCTACACGTCCAGAGAATGACTGATCGTCCCTTGAGCTGATAGGTGCTACAACGGAAAACCCTTCATTCAAACTCGTGTCGCCGCTCCTTAGTCGGTGTCGGTAAGCATCCATGTATGCTGCTCTTGACTCGACGCTGACTTCACGCAGGGTCTTCGTCTTGGATCGCCTAAAGGACGACGATATCAGGACCATCATTCAGCATGCAATAGGTCGTGCAGCAGGAAGTGCCGAAGCTGAGCCGGCGGACCAGTTGGACGTCCTGGACCTCGCATCGTCTCAATCGTCTTCCTCGCTGGCGGCTTCATCCTCGCAGCCCACGACCTCGTCTCAGCCACCGGCAACATCTCAGGCGACTTTGACGGACAATAGTGCCCTCGCTGCCTTTCCTCATGTCACGCCCAAGGTCATCTCTACCATTGTCGCCCTTGCCGGAGGCGACGCTCGAACCGCACTGTCTCTCCTCGAGCTGGTGCTCAAAGCCTCCCCATCCAGCGCCGAGGACCCGCTCATCAGTAGCCTGCGCAAGTCCGTCTCCGTTTCTTACGACCGCACAGGCGAGGCGCATTACGACATGATCTCCGCGCTGCACAAGAGCGTGCGCGGGAGCGACGGCAACGCAGCGATGTACTGGCTCGCGCGCATGCTCACCGCGGGCGAGGACCCGGTATTCATTGCGCGGCGCATGACTGTATGCGCATCTGAGGACATCGGGCTGGCGGACAACGCGGCGCTGCCGCTCGCGATGGCGACGATGCAGGCTTGCCAGCTGATCGGAATGCCCGAGTGCCGTATCAACCTCGCACACCTTGTCGCGTATCTGGCGGAGGCACCCAAGTCCACGCGATCATACGAAGCTTACAAGGCGGCGGAGAAGCTGGCGAAGGAGGCGCCGA